GACTGTCCGGGTCATTCCCGTACGGGTGGCAACCCTATATGGGAATGAGGAGATTACGATGTGTTCTGTAGTTCTGACATACTTCCTGTCCTAGAATGCTCCTCTTCAGAGCAAGCGTTGTCACCCTAGTACAGGAAATGTGTTACTGACAGGATCAGCAGGTGAAAATAAAGAAAAAAAAAGCCTGAAAAGAGAAAACTAATTTAGAAATCTAAGGACTGATAAGCTGCAATTTTTAAGGGTTTGGGTAAACCTTAAATATATGCACTTTATATTATTGCAATAATAGGCAAAAATTTAGTATTGCATATGCTACGAGTACAAGTTGCTTAGCAGTACTGTACCGCACAGTGATTGTGTTCCAAATCTTTTTTGCACTGCAAGTCTATGGGTGATATGAGACCTGCTTGAAAACAATAGTATTTCTATAAGGCTGGCTAAAGACAAGCAAATGCTTCTAAAAACATTCTTCTTCATAGATGAGTGACATGCTGGAACTGTAATTAGACAATACAAACTATCTGGGGAAAAGTCCAAATATCTGGTTTAATAATGGGTTAATTATCTTGTTTACAGTTATGTTGCAAATTATAGTACACTCAAGGGAAATATGCCTTGTGGAAAAAAAGACTTATATACTGCATCTAATCTCTTTAATATTCTCTTCCTGTTTTTGCCACAGCCACCAGTATCCGTTATTTCCCGTCTAAAGCATACATATTACCTGAATATCTTAACAATGTAACTATGTATTTTTGAATTGAAATCACTTTAAGGCCTTCCAACATTTTCTATTTTAATACTTTACAAGGAACATTTCAATTACCTCCTTCTCTTAAATGTATTAAATCTATTTGCACACCTGGCAGTTTCAACAAACATTTGAAAAACTTTATTTTATAATTAGGTGTATACAGCAAAGAACAAAAATTGTGTTTTATCTTTGTCTTCAGATTGCCACAGAGTTAAATAAATATGTCATGATACATGTACATTGGAGGGTTTTGTGAGCTGCGCCATTTGGACAACTGAATTTTGCTGTTGCTTTAAAGTGCATCATTCCATTATTGATGTCATCGTGGTATTCCATAATTCCTGCACAGGACACAAAACACTTCACTATACATATTATAATATTAAGATATGTAAGAAAATGTATATCTGGTTGCTGGCAAACTTTTTAAATTCAGTTTGAACCACAATTCTTATGTAAAGTCTAAGCATTTTCTATCATAAAACATATAAAAAAAATAGTTATTGTACAAATTAATTTAACAGTTGACATTAAATAATTAAATATTGTATTAAATCTAAAAAGCTGATTTAATGTAAAACTGGAAAGATAAAAATAGGGTAAACAATTACTGAAAATATATTAGACAGATTAAGACCATATATTAACCAAACTTGATTTAAATCAATATTATTTTCTTTAATTCTTTATATTTACTAGGGATGCACAGATACTTTTCGAGTACCAGTGCAGATACTTGGCATTTTCATGAGAACTACCAGGGTTGCAGCTGGGACCTGGCTCTGGCACTCCACCACTGTCCTGAAATCACTAGTCTGTATTGTTTTAGAAAAACTGTCACATGACAATAAACAAAAATGTATCAGTACTCGTACTTGTAAGTACTCGGCAAGTACCAGTACTCGTACTTGCAAAACTGGTATCTGTGCATCCCTTTATTTATAGTTATAAAAACAAAATCGTACATTAAAACAGAGATGTACAAATCCCAGGAGCTCTGTGTGCTCCTTACAAATGACAGCTGCCTCCTAATTTTTTTATTTTTCTCTAGTCAAGTCTTGGAGCTCAAAAGTATCGGTACATGTACTCGTACTTGTACCGAGTACTGCACTTGGTATCTGTGCAACCCTAATATTTACATAAATTTACTTTTTCCAAGGCTAGACAGAAGGGCGTTTAGTATTTCCTTGCTATGCAACTTAATTGATAAACAGGAGCAATGGGACAGATTGTGCAACGGATTTGCTGCAAGGTTACAGCTTCAGTCAAAAATGCCTCCTGCTGTAGTGTAGCACTGTGATAGAAGGAACCCTAACCCTGACCACTTCCTAATTGTGCATTTGTTTGAAGCAAAAATTACAAGATTTGGCTGCTGTAGACTTCAGTGGGGTTTGTGGATTTCCCGCTGGATTCAGCGAATATATGTAGCACAGCCTTTCTCAACCAGTGTGCCATGGCATCCTGCCTTTCCATGGTGCAGACAGGCTTCTGATGTGAAAGTAGTGGGTTCTAATGGGAAGGGGGCTCCTAGTGTGAGAGGGTGTACTCTGATGTGAAAGGAGGGGCTCTGATTTTGAAGGTGGGACACTTTGTATTTTTGTGTGGGGTCCCTCGTTAACATTTTGAAAGGGCCACACATTGTTTTTTTACATTTTAGAATGGTGTGCCTCAAGATTTTGCATACCTTTTTTTTAAAGGGTGTCTTGACTGAAAAAAAATAATTAAGAAACGTTGGTCTAGCAAACCGAACTTTGGTCATCTCTACATGCAAACAATAAGTATTCAACAAAGGTATTTTCAGTTCAGAGCCATAGCATACCTTGATCATTTTTCCTTCCCCAAATTATCCTGCACAAATTATGCATTTTTAATCATTATTGTCAGTGGTTATTTAGGGATATAAATCCCTAAATAACCATAAGCCATAGTTCACAAACTGACCTTACATCAAACCTATGTTTACCTCTCCACTACAGCTTCTTTAACACAAACTTCACATTCTGAGACACTTCCTATGTTGTAAAAAGTGTTGCAGCTCAGCGTTTTAATATATGCTAGGTATACTTGCAGTTAAGTTGTTCAAGTCTCTGCATAGAACACCCTCCTATATATCCACCTGGAGGGAATTGGGCTGATTTACTAAGAAGTTAAGAATCATCTCTCAAAAATTGTGCGAATAGTCACTTCAATTATCTAATCATGTAAAAAGCATCTACACATGATTGGGTATTCAAAGTGAACAGGAATTTGCTGTTCATTGGATTATTGAAGTGAATATTTGTATAGGTTTTTTTTTTTTTGTGAAGATTCTCGATTTATAATAATAAATCAGCATCAATATGTGCAACCTTTTGCTGGATTTACACTCAGGCTGCTTCACTGGTTCTACCCATCCATGCAATCACAGATGATAGCTCTGACACTTAACTGGTCACCACCAGTTTCTTCATAGGAGAGAGGCACGGTTGCAAAATCTCTTTAAAATGTCTTTATTTTTATTTATTTTTAATCAAAACAATGTAAAGGTGTGGATATATAGTATGATTAGTCAATTCTACTGGAGCACAAATACAAATATCTCTTTTATATAACAGTAGTATTACGATATTGTATGCTATGAGAAAAATAGGTGTGTATAGTGTCCTTGGAGGAATATGCTAGTAGACATATTTATATATAAATGTAGCTGTTTAAAAGAAAAGCAGAAAAGTTTGAGGGCCGTCTTAAAATTAAAGTAGCTTAGTCATGAGACAAGTATAGGGGGTGACATCGCTAGCCTTAGTTTTAAAAATGCTAGTTGCCTATCTGCTTAGCTTCAATATTTTTGAATCACAGATCCAAAACAATCATGCTGTAGATGATTGTCAGAAAATTGACTGAGTTGCTTATCTCTGTGCTTGTTCCAGGTCACACTCAAAAGCATCAGCATGATAGCATGTGAACTTACATTCACAAAGGAAAGGTAGCTGCCAGAAATGACAGCCTCCATTCCCATAACAGTTTCCCTTTCAGTCTCAAAATCTGAGCAGTCTACAGTCTCCATTGGAGTGCAGGCTGGATCACATTTTACTCACCACTTGTAATTTTCAATATGTGTTAATAAAGAAACTACACAGACGAATTGAGCTACCCTTTTGTTCTTACTGCTTGGGCCACCACTTAGAACTGTAAGTGTCAGCTCTTCATTGACTAAAGGGCAGGAGTAATGTTTAGTTGAATTTGAAATGTGTATTTAAATATTGTAGGAAACACCATTAGTCCATATGAAAGGGTTTATCCTATAAACAAATGTTTCCTGGATAAGCCCAGCATATTTAGGAAAGGGAGCAAATGGTGGGGCAACCTACATGGTTTAACCTTTGCATGCCACTTGTTCCTACACTAAACCGCAAAAATAAAGGCAAAATGTTGACATAGTGCAAAAAGAATTATTGTCCAGTTACTCAGGAATCAGATAAACATATTCTCAAATTATGTTGCTACGTGAAATTCATAATAACTAAACACCCTCTCCTTTAAAGGAGAACTATGAGGTGAGTGATTTTCAGTCAACCTCATAGTTCGAGCCAACATGTGACAATGAAACTGTCACACGTTGACTCAATAGATCGGCAAGTGAGCGAACACATACCGTCGCTCGCTTACTTCTCGATCATGCCCCTTTAGAGAGCGGTGACTGTAACTCACGGCTCCCTGCAGGGATCCCCCCCCCTCCTCACTGATCCTCCAGCGCTGACTGGCGGAACGGACGGGGGAGGGTACAAATGGCTCTGCCTCTAGATCACGCAGCTGGGTGGATCTCAACAGCATTGTCGGGATCTGTCCCGGCTGCGTCGGTCTCAGTATACCACGAGCTTTAGCTTGTGGTATACTGAGCTTTGGGTCACGGGAGGATGCTAGTTTGTATCCTCCAGTGACCCTTAGGAGAACTGTGGGGATAAACACATATCCCATAGTTCTCCTTTTAAGAAAAGCAAAGGCCATAATTTTTTAAATGTCTGTTGAGAGCGGGCAACTGTCTAGGTGCATCTGCTAGCGTGGTTCCTATTTCCAAGCTATTTGATTATAACTGTCAGCCATTTAGTGTCACTTGTATTTAATTCTACTGATTTTCTGTTTTCATGCAACTTACATCATGCAGCAGAAAGAATTAGAGATCACTTAACCAAAAGAAGTATGGAGCTTTCAAACCAATCTCTTGTTGCACAGTTTATCATTGTAGGCTTTCCTGATGTTGGTGGATATGCGGCCTTGTTGTTTCTCCTTCTGCTTATCAGCTACATTTTTACTCTAAGTGGCAATGTTACAATAATAACCCTTATCGGCACTCATCGTCAGCTTCATGTTCCTCTTTATATTTTTGTTGCTATACTCTCCTTCTTGGAAATGTGGTACACCACTGTTACTATACCGAAAATGTTGACAAATTTGGTAAATGTTAAGGTCATTTCTTATACTGGCTGTTTATTGCAAATCTACTTTTTTCATAGCCTTGGTATTACAGAAGCCTATCTTTTAACAGCAATGGCTTTTGACCGCTACATGGCCATATGCAACCCTTTACGGTACCCATCCATAATGACTATTGTGTGTTGTTTTCAATTGGCAGCTTGCTGTTGGGTTATTGGCTTCATTGGACCCTTAACTCAAATTATTTTGCTGTCCCATCTTTTGTTCTGTCATTCAAACCTAGTTAAACATATCTTCTGTGACTTCACTCCACTTATGAATTTGGCCTGTTCAGACACGTCACTTAACATCAAAGTTGACTTTGTAATCAATTTCTTTATTATTTTTGTTTCTTTCACTTGTATTCTTTTGTCCTATTTGAAAATAATTTCGACTGTGTTAAAAATAAAGACAGCAGAGGGCAGGAAAAAGGCATTTTCTACATGTGGAGCCCATCTGACAGTTGTCTTTCTTTTTTTTGGAAGTGTGTGCTTTATGTATGTTAGGCCAATCAAAACAAACTCTGCAAGCTATGATCGCATAATGGCTGTGATTTACTCGGTTTTAACGCCAATGTTAAATCCAGTAATTTATAGCCTAAGGAATCAAGAAATTAGACGAGTACTGAAGAAGAAATTTGCAGAATTATTTAAAGATCTTGTTTAAAAGGCTAGAAACATCCAATTTACAGAGGAACTTTACCCATATAATTGAAATGACCACAAATCCACCTTTAGACATGTTTTAATAATGACAATCTACAACCAAATACATATAGACAAATGCAGGCCTTTTATTCTTTACATACCTTTTCTTTTCCTCCCCATTCTTCTCACTATGGCCATTTTTAGTAAGGGCAGATAATACATGTCCCTTTACTTCCTGGAATTCTGGTACATGTGACAAGGATATGTGACCTTGCACATCATATCGGGAGAAAATGCCTTTCCTTGAGATCTCATGAAATTACAGATGAGATTTCCAGGCAATGTATTACTGATGTAATCTTCCCAGGATGCATCACTTGGACACAGACTACATCACTAATGCCCATGAGGACCAGGAAGTGAAAAAAACAGTAATTGTAAGTAAAAGCAAAATATGTTTAAATAATAAATGTAAGATGATTTCATATCGGCACGCAGAGCTGCATGCTGATGTGATTTTGTAGTGAAAGGGTGGTAAAGGTCCGCTTTAACAGTTACATCCCAAAAGAACAGCAACAAGATATTTAAATTATGGATAGAAATTGGATCACGGACTGGTTTTTGTATTGCTGGAGGACTCCAGTAGGAATATCTCTTCACTGGGTTTTTAATATTTGTCCCTTCCCTCTAATGTTGGGTGTCATCTCTCCTGTTGTAGTACGAAGAGCTTTACTGTTTTTGTTGCTTTCAAGTAACAACATCACATTGTATGTAACATTCCAACATTGATAGAATACTTGTTCTGACCAAGGCAGGTAAGCAGACCCGGGAACTTCGGTGCTCTAATCTTGCTGCAGTCCTCATGAGTTATAAGCTGGTTTATGCTATACCCCGCCAATGCCTAGCTAAAAATGATATTTTAAGAATGTGAATGCACATATGCAGTTGGGGTTTCTATTGCATGTGATTTAAGAACAAATTATATAACAATGAACATTGTAATCTTCATAGTTTATATCAGTAATGTCCATGATATAGATTTAGCTGAAATAACTTTCAGAACTATAGCTAGGCTTAATGGGTCTCATTTATCAACATGTGAGAAAGGAAAAAGACTGGTTCCACCTATAGCAACCAGTTTATTAGGCAAAATTACTTGAAATACCTTGTTAAGTGATATGGGCAACATCACGGCATATTGTTAAGCATTTGCCAGTACAATCATAAATAATCATTTACAAAACCAGCTACACAATGTCCATACCGTTGCTGGTCATACTGGCTGTATTTAAAATGTGATTTTAAAAAAGGCATCCCCCATCCAGACACGTGCATCATGCATGCAAGCTTGTATCCTCCATGGAAAGGAAAAACGAGCCAGCACGTTCTTGAGCATTGGGAGGGTTCTTTGAGAGAGTTTACCAAAAAAGGAAAACCCAAAAGCCCCGGTTGCAAATCTGAGAAATGTTGGCTGTTTAACATCTCCAATGCCTATGAAGGGTGGCTGACATGTGCCACTTAGCTCTAACTATTTCATGGTGTGCATATAGGAAATTAATTCTGTATACAAAGTTTAAGAATCCAAAATTAACTTACAAAGTCCAATGATGTCCAAATTAAAGATGACTGAGTAATTGAAAGTTTGCCTTCTCATCTGGTGAAGTCAGTAATTAAGCAACAATAATAAACTGCTGGAGATTAAAGATGATGAAAATGGGTGACATGATGCCAGATAAAAGAGCAGCTGCACATAGAGGTAGAGTTCTAGTGATAGCTTTTTAAACATTGTTTCTATAGAACAGTTTTAATGAAATGGTACAGATTCAAACTTACAAATCACAAGTGGCTTCAAGCCTCAACTCTTACAGCCTAACTAGTGTAAAGAGAAAAACAAAACCACTCATGTTTCAGAGGCACAGAGGATGATACCTTGAGAAAGGGGGCCTCCATGCCTCCGAAATAGCAGTGGTTTTGTTTTTCTCTTTGCACTTTTTGATTTTTTACCTTAGTAAACATTTGACCCCTTAATTGTTTGTGTGCTGGCCATTTTTGTCCTTTTAGCAATAAAAACCTGAAAACATAAAATGCTTGTCAGGCGCAGGTCAGCACATCACCAATTACCCAAATTGTCTGGATGACCGTTCTGAGGCTGCATTTTTCAGAGAATGTCTTATTTGATCGGCATTTTCACCACAGGCAAAGCAAGTTAGTCACAGCCTTTTGAATTTGATCTAGGAGCTTGAATAATAAAAATACCTGATCCTCGATGCTGCTAGACTGGTCCCCATATACTGCTGGAACCTGGGGGAGAAGAGGCTAAGTCCCGCTGACATCAAGTTTAATTCTGTACTAGACATGAGGACACTGAGGAACATACCAGAGCGGAGGGGGAGAGAGAGGTGAGCATTCACTGCCACAGGATGTGTGAGTATTTCTATAGGCCCCTAGAGAAAAATGAGCAGTTAACCCTTGCGGGGCAGAGGTAGCCCAACTGCAAGGGTTAACTTTTCACAATCCTGGAGCTCTGCTTTAAATATATTCCTCAATCGCCACAAAGGATATAAATCCACTTTGTGTGTACCAAATGCCTTTGCAAAACCAGTTATTACCTTGTAAATATAGCGGTGACATCATCACTGTGTTCTTCGTAGCCTGTGCAGTGAATAGAGCTGTGAGAGAAGCCCAGAAGATTCACCTACTACAGGCTGCCTGCAGAAAACTAAAGAAGGGGGTGGTTACAAGACCTGTCATCTTGCTCAAGGAGAGAGAGCAGCAGCTTTAAATTTTAATATCTCTAAAAGTAAGCCACCATCAGCAACATATTAAAACTTCTTTCTAATACCAGGGGATTTACAAGGTGCATGGCTTATAGTAAGCAAGACAGAAACAATCCCATAACATACTATTTTATTTAAATTTCAATAAAAAGGATTAAAAAGCACAAGAGGGCTGATGTATAACCATTCTTCCCAGTGTATAACTGATGAAGCTCTGCTGAATTAATTACTTGTCTAGTCTCTAGTACATAATATTTTTGATGACAGTCATCCAGCCTATTCAATCTTCCCACTGGGCAGGGTCTATGTGATGACGTATCCTGTGTGGCAATGCCACAAAAAAAGGAACGATGTGAGGACAGGACCACCTGATGTGGAGGAGAGTGCCAACTTCTCGGGAGCAGTGGCAGCAAGTTTCAGAAACGTCGGGACAAAAACAGTGATTCATCACTGGCGTCCTGTACCAATGGGAACAGAGTTTGTAGTTTGTTTCTTGTATTTGAACATTTTGGGAACTAGTAAGTAGTAAGACATTCATTCCCTCCCACTCCTCCGAAGTGGAAAAGCAAGCTGAGTCACATTCCCAGGCCCGGGACAAAGGTAAGTCATGCGAAGCTGTGTGGTCCGTCAAAGAGGAGTAGATTGCCGAGATCGTATGGGCAACTTTGTGGGTAGAGGTGCACAATTTTTCAAAGTGTGTAAGCAGGCAGGTAAAAGATTGTCTATGCTTACCAGTGTTCAGGAAGTGGTGAATCTGCAAGTCCAGAAAGTCATAAGCGATGCAGGAGCATGAGAGTTCAGATCTGCAAGAGACTTGAACATGCCTTGATGATCAAAGAACATATTCACGGTCTGAGCCACTGTAGGATTCCACCCCTGTAAAAAGTGTGATGGTGGCCGGGAGAAAAGGCCGGATTCTTGTGGAAGGTCAATGCCACCTGCAGGTTTCAGTAATGAGAGGGTTTCTCTGTTAATCCTGGTCGTCTTGTTCCAAAGAAAGATACAAAACAAGGCGTCTATGGAAGAGAAGAAGGCCTTGGACAGGGTAATGGGAATAGTTTGAAAGAAGTATAGGAGACGAGGGAGAGCATTCATCTTTAACATAGGTGCACGGCCAAACCATGAGAAGATCAACTTATTCCATTCCTTTAGGTCTTTTTGCAAGTGGGCGAGTAGGGGGCCAAAATTGAGGGAATAAAGATTGTTTAGGTTAGCAGGAAGCTTGATTCCGAGATAGGTAAGGGCTGAGTCTTTCCAAGTAATCAGGAAGTGAGATGTACAAAAAGATGGTTTCATCAGGGAGAGGGGGATTGAACACGGAGGATTTCAAGAGATTGATCCTAAAGAAGGGTAAAGTAGCAAATTTGTTGAAAGCCTTCAGAAGCTTGGGAAGAGAAACCAGCAGCTGGGTCAAGAAAAAGAGCAAATCATCGGCAAAAGCTGTGATCTTGAATTCTTTATGGGGGGGGTTGCAAAGCCATAGATATTAGGATCAGAGCAAATTTTGCGAAGAAAGGGCTCCAGGGCCAGCACAAAAAGTATGGGGGACAGCAGGCATCCCTGCCTTGTACCGTTGCGAATATGGAAGGCGTCCAACAGAGCGCCATTACCTTAATTCTGGCAGTTGGATTGCGATAAAGTAGAGAGATGGGATCTAGCATAATGGGTCCAAGACCAAGATGGTGTAGTGAAGCAAACATATAATCCCATGCTACTCTGTTGAACACCTTCTCGGTGTCAGTCGACAAGAGGAATCCCGCATGTCCTCCGCCCTTAAGCCAATGGTGGAGAGTAATTGCCTTAATGGTTTTGTCCCTGGACCTTCTATCTGGGACGAAACCTGCCTGATTAATGTCTACAATGTTGGGAAGAAGTGGCAGGAGGCGATTAGCCAATATTTTTGCATGCAGCTTGATGTCCACATTGACTAAAGAAATGGGGCGGTAATTCGCACACTGAGTAACATCTTTCCCAGGTTTTGGGATAGCAGTGATGTGGGCTGCCAGGAGGTGAGGTGAATCATGGGGTGTTCGGGAGGGAGGATCGAAAAGCAGGTAGAAAATGGGGTACTAGGAGGTCTGAAAACATTTATAGTAAAGCGGAGTAAACCCATCGGGTCCTGGACTTTTCGCTGGCAGTTGCTACTTCCTGGGCCGTGAGTGGGGCTTCTAAATCTGTCTTGGCTTCCAGGGAAAGAGACAGGGGACTACATTGGGAAAGGAATGATTGGATGGCAGCAGAA